AATATAAAGTCTAATTTATATTTAAATAGTAAAAATAAGAAACTCTAACTTAATAGAATAAGTAAAAATATTAAAGACTACATGAAAAAATGTAGAATAACTCTATTTTTCTTTTATCTCACATTGTTAACAAACGTAACACAATCATTCCATTATGCTTATATAAACTAACATCATTAGACTATTTAACTCATGAACTAATATGTATTAAATTATATTATTGGTCCTTATAATTTTATTTTTTAAAATTATCTTTTTTAAAATATAATTTATAGATATTTGAGAAAGGTGCGTCTTGTAAGATGAGCTTCCTAGGTGTCTTGTCACCTCAACGAAGGCGTTTCTCTAGGAACATGTATTCTTGTCACGTGTGTAAGGCGTGTTACCCAAAATGCACCTTTTTGTCTTGTTTTCAGAAAGGGTGTTAGTTTGGGTAATATTTGAAAAAGAGTATTAAATTGGAATATTTGATTTTTTTTAGTGATTTTTAGTAAAATTGCCCGCTTTCTATCGATTATTTTGAAAATTCCTAAAGTTCATCTTTTCAGCTAATCCAATTTGAATTTGCATGAATTCGATATTATTAACATAAAGAGATTAAAATTTCATACCTATCCTAAATAATACATACATCCGCTACTACCTTATGACTTTGTTTTATCGAACCTCATGCTCTTGTTATGTATGCTTAAAAGTCGATGTCATTAATGTCATTTCATGAATCCTTTTTTCACAAGGATCTACTTTTCTGCGAATTTATTTCTACGTAATTTTCTTCTTTAAACTTTTAAACATCATTGGAGATCCATTTATATATTTCTCTTTTGTTATTTTTATGATTATTGAATCTGATTCTAAAATGATATGATTTCTTATTTTTTGATAGTCAGAATATGTGATCTTGGGTAAATTCGTCCCAAAAGATATACATATACTGTCAATTTTATAATAAGATTAATTTGTCAATTTTGAAATTATGAGGAATCTAAGAGATCTTTATATTAAAATTCATTATGAAAAACGATTAAAGATATTGTCAAAATCTTTGTTTGTAACTTTTTCTGTCACTTTCTTTAGAACTAAACAAAAAGTTTGTTTTTACTTCGAAGGAAAGTATCGTTATGATACAAAGTTTGTACATGGACGAGCCTAAATGACACATATTTATTAATCACATAAAATTTATATATGAAATAAACACAAATAAAATTTTAAGATAAAAAAGTCAATAAAGTCAAAAAACCAAAGAAAATTTTAAATTATGAGTTCATTCTAAATTAAGGGTGGATACACCCTTAAGTATGGGGTTGTAATAATTAACATGATAGCGAACTTAATTTAATGCATGCATAGATAGAAGGATGCATGGATGAATAAAATTTTGTTTGAATTTATGTGCATGCTATACAGATAATATATATCGCAATTTTAGAACAAAGATAGATAAAAAAATGTTGTGGTTATCATTTTTTTAAAGTGTCTTATTTAGTCACCAATTTAATAAAAAGAAACGATTTGGTCATTTATATTATCAGCCTGTCTGTTTTAATTATTAAATTGTTAACCCTTGTTAACTTGCTGATGATATAAATTAAAAAATATTAATTTTAAATTTAACCCATAAACTTTCAAAAGTATTTTTTCCATCATTTTTATAAAAAAAAACAAAACTCAAAACCTTTTTATTTCTCTAAGAAATATCTCTCTTTTCTAACGTTAACTTTCATCTTTGTTGCCATCATCGTCACCTCCAGTTGTCTCTGTTCGAGCTCTATTTATTTAAGTAATAGGGTTTAGGGTTTCCCCCCCTCCTGCCCAAGAACAAAAGCAAAATCCACCGAGAGATGCTTGAATTTTTTTTTTCCAGCTGTTGTCCATTGCATAAGGGACTTTAGCAAAGTTTATTTCGAAGGCCACTGAAGCTGCTGTAGAATGGGTCCAAATGCTGGAATGAAGGTATATATATGCACGAACCAAATGATCTCAATAATAAATATATTGTTGTTATTTCTTGAGGTATTGAGTTCGAGCACAATGAATGTTAAAGGTGTGAGCGTTCAATGTCAAATGATTGAGAGTTATCTTTAAATTAATAATAATAATAATAAAAAGTATATCATATGACCTTCTCCACTCCACTAATATTTGATATTCAATTAGCTACCATTTTGCCTAGGAACGGAAGTATGATATCATGTCAGAGAGAATGAACTTTTAAAATTTTAGAGACGAAACTAAATTATCAACTGAAAATACAAAGAAATTATCTATAATATATATTAATTTAAAAATTTTAGGAGAAACGATTGTCTCCAACTACCTTCTTTGATCCATCCATGATTTTACCTCATAATAACATGAACTTCAATTGAATTTCTTTCCTAGTCCAAGATCACTATGTTTCTGAGGACTTGTATTCTTTAAAGTGGGTTTGGTATGTCTGTGTTAGAATGTAAGTTTTTGGGTATTTTTTTTTACTGTATTAGAATATAATTCTTTTATTGAGCAACATTTGATTTTTAAAATTAACTCCTTTTTCTTAACTGGTTACATCATTAAGTTGATGGGTGTTAACAGATCAGTGATTAAAATATAACAGACTGATAATATAAATGATAAAATCTATTTTTTTTAAAAATTGATGACTAAAATAATATAAACTAAAAAGAAAATGAACCACATGTGTAGTTTACCCAAAATTAAACCCTTTCATTAATGGAAATAATAGTTAACCGGTAACAAGGATAAGGGACGAGACCAATTGATTCTTTTTGTTCACAAGTGCTCAATTGAATACACATTAGAATAAGTGTCCAATTAAAGTACCAAATATGTAATATTTATCAAATTTAGATATTAAATTAGAACAAAAATATAAATATTTTATTTAGAAAAGTGAAAATTCAGATATAAAAGTGACAAAGAAAACACAAATATCACATTAAAAAAGTTTCAAATTCATATTCTAAATGATTTATTAAAGAGAAAAAAAAACTATAGTTGAATCTTATATTATCCTGAGTTAGTGTATGCTCATAATTTTTCTTAACCTATTGATAATGTATTTATACTCTACAAATATAATTATTCAAACATACATCTTTTAAGAAGAATAATAATCTTTTTTACCTATAAAATCATTTAATAAATTCTATAGAAAATTACTCTTAAAATGTACAATACTTTATAGAAAAGGTGTCTAAAATCAAAGTATAATTATATTATGAACTCGGCCTCAGTAATTAAAGAATTGTTGTTTTTTCTAGAAGTTCTAGGTTCGAGCAACTGCATCTGCAGGGTGTGTATGCATTATCAATAATTAATAAAGATTTTAAATACCTTATAATCACCTAAACTATTAAAAAAAATTATCCTACCATAATGGCTTTAACTTATCCAAAATCTATTTAAATTATCGTTTAAGTAAGGTATCGAATTCAAGTTCTTGTGTATGTAGAAATTCTTACTGGGAGACTCACTTACCAAAACTAGGTATGCAACAAGGGTCGGATCAATCCGAAATAATCATATAAAATTTTGAAACTAGGAGAGCAAAAAAAATAAAAAATTCATATGCAACCAAAACAAAAAAGGACCTATTTCAATTATGCAATAAGATTTGGCTTTTATACAATATTAAGACTCCACAAGATTAAGAATAAAAGCTCTAATCTTATCTATCAAGCGATTTTCAATAATAAAAAGATATTATTTTCTTTAAATATTTTAGGTACTTTGTAACTGTTTTAGACTATTCAAAATTATAACAATATATAATGAAATTAAAGAAAGCTCTCATTTTTTTTAAATATTTGAGGAGATAAAATAATTAAAGTCAATATTAACCAGGGTAAAGTATATAAACAATCATTCGACTATAATATATTATTTTGTTGAGTTTTTCGACTATTAAAAATTATAAAATGGTCTATCGATTATAGAGAGTTGCTTTGTTATGTCTCCCGACTATTAAAAGTTACGTCATGGTCACCTAATTATTTATTATGTTTTAAATTCGTCATTTTCCTTTAAAAAATTAGCTGCAATATGAGTTAGACGTTAAACTACTGACTGAGATATGATAAAATTTGATCTCTTTGAAACTACTATCTCAATCAACACATAATGTTAAGATCAGGCAACTGTTAATTTTTTAACGTAAAATGACGAGTCAGGAATATAATTAACAGTCGAATTATCATTTTTAACTTTTAATAATTGAATGACTTAACAAAAGTAACTCTCTCTATAATCGATGAATTATTTTATAACTTTTTAATAATTAAATTATTCAACAAAGCGACATCTTGAAGAGAGCATTTATATACTCTACCCTATTAACAAAATAAAATAAAGCAATTGAATCATGACAAGTTCATTATTTTTTTCAGTTAATAAATATAATTGGAAAAATAAAAGTAAAATTTAAAAAACTAAAAGTTAAAATGATGTTTTAAAAACAAAACCCGAGGGATAAAAATGTCATCGGGGCAATTAGAAAGAAGTTCTTATGAGTTAAAAAAAAGTTACCAGAAGGTGTTTTTGGTCATTGCATAAAGAAGTTTCTGATTCTTTGCACAATTTCCCTGTGAGAGTATGGCACTATTTAACTGCATTCCCTTCACAAAAACAAACCCAAAACAAAACAAAACACCGAGAAAGAGAGAGAGATTAAAGGTTGACGGCCGGCCGGCGATGGAATCATGGTGAAAGTTTCCGCCGCTCATCTTGCGTACTCTCTCAGTGATTTCTCTTCTTCTATACGTCTCTCTCAGTTCAGGTTCTTTGCCTTCAAGTTTTAGTCAGTTTTCACTCAACATTTGGCGAGTTAGCATCGCTTCTTTGAAATCTCAATGCTTTCTTCTTTCTTCTCTTCTTCAATGATTTTGTAATTTAATCCTTGATTTTTCTTTTTTAATGTTTCTCATTAGCCAAATTCGATTGTCTCTGTGTCATCTTTTCCGTACATTTCTTTCTTTGTTATTTGCAGATTTTTATTTAGATCTTATATGTAGTTTTTTCGTGTTGATTTCTATTTTCTTGAACAAAGAAAGAAAAGAAGATGAAGAGTTTTTTCTTTCCTTTTTTTTATAAATTAAAATTGTACACTTTTTTATCTCTAGCAGCATGTAATTTCTTTACTAATGTTTCTATTTTGATTCTTAAATCATGCAGTTCTTTCAACGACTTATATTGAAGTGTAGCTTTTTTTTTTTTGCTACGAATACATTGGCTGTTGCTATAGAGTGAAGGGTTACTTCACTTGCATCACCTTCGTCTTCCATACCCTTGTTACGGCTGACAAGTTGGACACTTCGGTTCAGACTCAGATGGCTGATGCTGTTTCCAATGGTGTATGCAATGGTGAGTACCGCGCTAGAACACGGCGTGTTTTTGTTCAGACAGAAACTGGTTGTGTCTTGGGATTAGAATTGGATCGAAATGATAATGCTCACACTGTTAAAAGGAAGTTACAGATTGCCTTCAATGTTCCTACTGATGAGAGCTCTTTAACATTTGGTGATCTTACTTTAAGCAATGATCTTAGTGCCATTCAGAACGATTCGCCGCTTCTTCTTACTCGAAATGTGATGCATAGGAGTTCATCGACTCCGTGTCTCTCTGGGAAGAATCTTCAGCAGAGAGATCGGGGTAGTCTGATTGAGATATTAGGGTGCTCAAAGCGTTTTAGTGGAGCTATTGGGCTTGTGAAGGAAATTGTTAAGGCAATCAAGAATGGTGTTGATCCGATCACTGTGAATAGTGGGCTAGGTGGTGCTTATTACTTTAGAAATATCAAGGGAGAGAACATTGCGATAGTGAAGCCGACAGACGAGGAACCTTTTGCGCCTAATAACCCGAAAGGCTTCATAGGGAAAGCTCTTGGACAACCTGGCCTGAAACATTCAGTGAGAGTTGGAGAAACGGGATTTCGAGAAGTAGCTGCATACCTTTTAGATTATGATCACTTTGCCAATGTGCCTCCAACTGTTCTTGTGAAGGTTACTCACTCGGTCTTTAATGTAAACGATGTCATGAATGGGAACAAGTTTCAAAACGCGAAGAAGGTCAGCAAGATCGCATCGCTGCAGCAGTTCATTGCTCATGATTACGATGCTAGTGACCATGGATCCTCGAGCTTTCCGGTTGATGCTATACATAGAATAGGAATATTGGATGTTAGGATCCTTAACACTGACAGGCATGGTGGGAACCTTTTGGTTAGGAAACTTGGTGGAGTTGGGGGCTTTGGCAAAGTGGATCTCATTCCCATAGATCATGGCCTTTGCTTGCCTGAGAGCTTGGAGGACCCATATTTTGAGTGGATCCATTGGCCTCAGGCATCGATTCCTTTTTCTGAGGAGGAACTTGAGTATATAAAGAATATTGATCCAATTCGTGACTGTAATATGCTGCGGGCAGAGTTGCCTATGATTCGAGAGGCATGCCTCCGCATTTTGGTTCTCTGCTCGATATTCCTTCAGGAAGCTGCTGCATTTGGATTGTGTCTTGCTGAAATTGGTGAAATGATGAGCAGGCAGTTCAATGTCCAACAAGAAGAACCAAGTGAACTTGAGGTCATATGCCTTGAGGCAAAAGAACACTTGAGGGAGATCGACTTGTCATTCTTTGAGGCTGATGAAAGAGATGATGAGTTTCAGTTTGACATGGACTGTGAGACAGCACAGTTTAATGTGGCCCCTAATATGTCTGGAAAGTCGTCTGTTAAAGCATCCCTTCATTACGAGTTTGGAAGTGTGAATGACCAAAGCTTTCTAGCTCAAGTAGATGAGACCGTTGAAGAATCTGAAATACGAGTTGATGAGGATCGATTTCGCACTGCTTCAAGGTCGTTTCCCTCCTTGAAAAAAGTAAACTTGGGTGAGAAAGGCTTCCACTACCATGGTGGAAAACCAGAAGGGAATTATACAATGGGTTACTCTTACTCATTTAGGATGAGTAGAAGTGCCAATGAGCAACTTCCTACATCGATAAGCTTCGTAAAGTTTGTTGACTTGAATGAGGAGGAATGGAATCTCTTTATTGTGAAGTTCAAAGAGCTTCTTTACCCTGCTTTTGCCAATCACCGGTCTCGAACAATTGGACATAGACAAAGGCTTGGTACTTCGTGCCAGTTTTGAGTTAGTTAACTATCCTGTTAATGTGGATTTGCAGGTCTGAAGAATAAGATTCTGGTGCTGGAAATCTGTTTTCTTTTCTTTTTCTTTTTTTGAATCGGTCTTCTTTCTGGAAATATAGGTCCGGAAGAAGAAATCATCGATGTTAAGAATAGTCTATGTTGTAAATATACCAGGGATCAGAGTTTAAGCAATCAGATTAGTCAAGCAAATGAACAAAAAGATCACATCAAGGTTATATCTTTAATTGATATGTTCTGATTCTCGGAATTTCCTCATGGACTGAAGCTTGTAATGATGTGATTCAATACAAGAATTATCGAATAATTTGCTGTGAACGATCTCTAGCTATTTTGTCGATTTCTAGTTTGTGATCGCAGGTCTCCAATCTCCCATCAAGGTGTAATTTGGATCTAAAGTTGAACCCAGAGCTTTTGGAGCCGAAAACCATCACCTCTTACATCTGAAGTTCGTAATGATGTGATTCAATGCAAGAACTACAAACTATCCCTTGTTTCTTACATCTGTAGTTTGTGGTTGCCAGGTCGAACGTCTCGATATAGTTTGGTTCAAAAGTAGAAATCGGGAGCTTGGATACATCATTGCTGGTGAGATTGCGGTTTGGTTAGTGTTCTAACTACATGCTTACTTCATGGCCATGACGTTGGCTTGACTTTTAGAAGAATTCCCCAATAAGTTCAGGGATGCTGACATTTTCCCCACATTTGGTGTAAGGTCTCAACATACAATGAGACCAGTTTTTTTTTTTTTTTTTTTTTTTTTGTGTTTTCTAAGCGATAGAGACAATGCAGCAAACATAACATGATTCTAAGACACATTTTCTTTATAAAAAAAAGACACTTTAGGTTAGTTGGACTCGGTATAAGTTATGTTGTATTGATACGGATATGAAGACGGATATGGGGACAGGAAACAACAATTCTTAAAATTATAGTGTACGGGGACGGTAGGGTGTGACATATAATAAAAATTAAATTATAAAAAAAATAAAAAATCATAAATAAAGTTAATATTTCACAGAAAATTAGAAAATAAAATCAATAAGTAAATATTAAAAAATAAAATTCATAACGTAAATACTTTATAGAAAATTTAAAGCCCTAAGATATGGGAATTTTGGCCTAAATCTCTAAATTATTTATGTGACCAATTTGTAATTAATGTAAAGCATTTAACCTGTTTTCTAAACCCTAAAATATTTGAGGATTAACTCTGAGGTTATACCATTTTTATTATAATCACAAATCCATTGCTTTGTTTTATCGTTTATCCGCGTCTCTCTATTTTTTTTCCTTCGATGATTAAAGAATCTTCGCCGGTCATCCCATTAACCCATATCTCGTTGTGCCACTATCATCCTTAGGTCGTCGATCCTCTTCCAAAAACTTTCATGTTGTGACCCTAACCCTCGTCGTCGATGTGGGTTGTGTTGATACGAAACCCGCGAGCTTTGGCTCTCAATCTCTGCCGTTGTGGGTCAATTTGGCCACCTGAGAACGCATGTGATAGTCACATATCGTCCTCAAAACGTTCTCGGGTAAGCATCGAAACGTCCCCAAGTTGTACTTCGTCACGTGACACGTCCCCGGTATGTATCTGTGTCGTCCCCGTGTTGGGGACGTATTGAGTACTGAAACGTGGGAACCAGTACCATCCCCGTGCTTCATAGGGTATAAGTGTCAAATACGAGTACGTTCAATTTTATGTCAACATTTAAAAGTTTTTGAAGGATTAAATCCTCGTATTCTTAATCGGTTATGTGTCCGGTACTGTGAGAAAGGAGACATGATGGCCGGATGGTGAACGAGGGCGATGAACAGCTGTCGCTTTGTTATAGGCTTGGGGGGTTTTGTTAATTAGAGAATACTACTAAGAAAGAATTTACTGAAAAAAAGGTTAACTAACCCGTTACAAGTATAAGCCTTATATATAGCCTAATATATAGGTGGTTTATTCGGTTAAAACCGAACCGAACCGAATTATTTATAATCGAATTAATCGAATTTTTTTTTCTTTAACTGTTAATCGAACCGAATTTTTTTCGAAAATATTAACCGAATCGAATAAATTTCGGTTAATTCTCGAATTAACCGATTTTTTTTTAAATTTTCTAATTTATATAAAAATTAAATGTTTTTTAATTCAAAAAAAAAGTTTATAATTAATTTAAATAATATATAATTATAAAATAAAAATTTCAGATAAAATTTTTAATTAATTAATATTGATTTAGGTTTAAAAGTTATTGGATCTTAAATTATTAATTGGGTTTTAAATGGTTTGGGCTGAGCCCATATGTTATATATAATATTTTTTAATTAAAAAACAATTTACAATTAATTTAAATAATATATAATTATAAAATAAAAAATTTATATAAATTTTTTAATTAATTAATATTGATTTAGGTTTAAAAGTTATTGGATCTTAAATTATTAATTGAGTTTTAAATGGTTTGGAATGAGCCCATATGTTATATATAATATGTATAATATTTTTTAATTAAAAAAACAATTTACAATTAATTTAAATAATATATAATTATAAAATAAAAAATTTATATAATTTTTTTAATTAATTAATATTGATTTAAGTTTAAAAGTTATTGGATCTTAAATTATTAATTGGGTTTTAAATGGTTTGGGATGAGCCCATATGTTATATATAATATATATAATATTTTTTAATTAAAAAAACAATTTACAATTAATTTAAATAATATATAATTATAAAATAAAAAATTTATATAATTTTTTTAATTAATTAATATTGATTTAAGTTTAAAAGTTATTGGATCTTAAATTATTAATTGAGTTTTAAATGGTTTGGGATGAGCCTATATGTTATATATAATATATTTAAAATTTAATTTCGGTTAATTAATCGAATTAACCGAATTCTAAAAATTTTCTTAACTGTTAACCGACCGAACTAATTCGATAACCGAACTAATTCGATTCGATCGATTAACCGAATTAGTTAGGTTATTTGAATACCCCTACCAATATCTATCAATATGCTAACTCACCTAACAACCATTAACAAATTCTTAACAATCTTATAACTCTTTGTTTCGTTTAACAGGTACAAATATTTAAAGAAAAATAAAGAGTTGGGAGCTACACAAGTGACTCGTAATCTGGCAAGCAAACCTCTCCTTTGATGAACCACCAACACAAAATCATTTCCAGTTGGAACATAAGTGACCCGTAAATATTTTTACATCATGAATGAGTCTTAGATATAATGTGTGTAATATGAATATCATTTTACCTTTATATATATATATAAATATATATATAATACTCTTAGGTGTTGGATATATATATTAAATAAATAAATAATCGAATATTGTAGATCATACCGACATCACGAAAAGTTATTCTAGGTTAATGTAGAGAAGGGAAAGAATGAAGAAAATAGTAAAAGTAGTTGCCTCACAGCGATTCTAACACGTTAAGGATAAAAAAGAATGACAAAAAGTCTTCAACAATTGTCTTCTCCAGTGGTGCAATCGTCAATGGCATTTACTTGAGTGCACTTTCCTGTTGTGGTAAATGAACTTCTCCGCTAACAAGTTACCTCAAAATGTCAACTTTTGGTTGAAATCAACGTGCATTAATTCTATAATATAGACACGATACGAGAACTAAAGTTTTAAAATATTATGTGTATGTTGGTACGAGGTGATTATAAGATAATATCTATTCGGAATCTTTTTAACCTATTGACAACACATTATTCGAACCCAAAACCTCTAAGAATAATAACTTTTTGCTTTTACTACTAAGACCATTTGATGAGATATTTATATGTTTAATTTAAAACTTATTTTCATGTATTGGAATATATTATATTCTCATTTCTATGTTTAAATTAAATGAGTATGTGATATAAGAGTAATTGACTAAAAAGTATTGCATTTAAAAAGTGGTATAGTCTTGATCTTAAATAAGCATAAATAAAACCATCGTCGTCGGTTTTTATTTTTCTGTATTTTGACGATGAACTCTCAATCACCCTTGTAGTATATGTTCTAAGTAATCTCAATCATTTGACGATGAACGCTCAATCACCCTTGCAATCGCTGATGCTCGAACCCATGACTTCTAAGAACAATAATGATTCTTTTAACCACTACGGTAAGTCGGTTCGTGCATGCTCATTGTATAATTGAATATAAATATAAAAATATAATCTTATAAATATATAAAAATTTTAGAAAAATAGAATATAATCACAAAAAATATCATCCAAATCAAATAAATGATTTCCAAATTTGGATAGAAACAATCACGTCTCTAATCTCTTACGCATATATTTGTGAAAAAAGGTATAAACTGAGAATGGTTATGAATATGGAAATATAGATGCCCATTTAAGTAAAAGGCTGAGTGGAGAATACAAGGGGCTAACCCCCAAATGTATATATTTCTTTGCTATTTTTAGTCTGTTAAACATTATAGCCGAAAGTTATTTTCATGAATAAATATTCTTTGCTACCATCAAAATTTCAACTTCTATAATTGGTATAATTAACAAATACGTATATACGAGTATGAGTATAATCAAATGATTTTACAAAATCAATAAACCAACCCCTATAAGCATCATTAATGAATTACAAGACAGTGAAGGAAGTTGCTTGCACTACAAGAAACCCCCTGCTTGATTTGCTAGATCCTCGGCTATAAAACTTTGAAACCATCTTCAAGCTTTTTCTCTCGACCGCCTTAGATATTCGATCCGTATGGAAGTTCCCGGTTTCGATGTTCATCGCGAACATCAACCCCATGGAAGCCTCATTCAAAGCTTCTTTGCTGTCTGTCCTTCACAGAAAACGTTAACAACCTCTGCAGCAACTGACTTCGATATGGAGTCATGGGATGGAAACTCGTCATCTCCTCAACACCCTGATTCCGGCATTTTCTCCAACAGGTTCTCGCCCAACACTCAAATCCATCTTTTCTCGCCCAACGCATCGTCTCCGAGCAACGAAGACGAGGCAAGAGTGTGTCAGCAGAGCATCGTCTTCGATGAGAAGAGGCTGAGGAGAATGATATCGAACAGGGAATCCGCGAGGAGATCGAGGATGAGAAAGAAGCAGCAGATTGAAGAGCTTCAATCACAGGTTAATCAACTTCAAACTGTTAATCGTCAGCTTTCGCAAAAGGTGATCAATCTGTTGGAGAACAACCATGAGATTCTCCAAGAGAATACTCAGCTCAAAGAGAAAGTTTCTACCCTTCACGTGGTGCTTTCTGATGTGTTTGCGCCTCTCAGGAATTCAAATGATTCCTCCATGAAACCTAAATCAGATTCTTAGAGATGCTAATATAAGTATCATCTAATTCGGGGTATACATATACATATACAAAACGAGTTTTTAAGGTTAAAATGGATGACAAACTGGCTTTGCAGCTGTCCCATGGTTATGGTTTGCTTTTGCCAATATAACTTAAATGTATAGAAATCATTACAGGCCTCAATGGATTACTGGCATAAGATATATATGTATATATAGTTTGATACATGTAATAAAGTCTTGACTGAGACAGCATATTAATATTGTCAAGGTTTACAGAGTTAATCAGGATTTTACTCCATTAAAGCAAATGTTCAACTATGATGGCTTCAGGATTTCTGGTTTTCACACACCTCTTGTTTTATTTTTTTCCTTGAAAAGAAAAGCAAGCCCCTTGTTCAATTTCTCCCTGAAAAAGCTGTCTTCCTACTATGGAAGCTGCTACTCCTAGTCCAAACCCAGATTTATTGAAAAATTGATCAGTTATCACCCTAGGCGGTCATTGAACCATACAAAAATCAGTGTAGATGATAGTGTTAGAAGATAATCTCAAAAGGTTTATCTCTTCTTAAATAATAAAGTGGACAAGTAGATACTCTGTTTCCCTTTTTGTTTTTTTTCCTGAATTCGCTTTTTTTGTTGTTGCTGAAATCAGATAAAAAGGATAAACAAAATATCTACTTGTCCACTTTTATCTTCAGGAAGAGATGTAGACTTTTTGAGAGTATGCTCAAACACTGTGCCATCTGCAATGAATCATACATGGTTTTGTGACAGCTTAGAGAGTAATAGTGGATCAATTTTTCTATAAATCTCGAATTCGGATGAGGAGCATTAGCTTCCATAGTGTATACATGAGTTACTTTCTGAAAGAACTTAAACAAGAATCTGCTTCTGAATTGAAAGCTTTTAAGTTTCTGTTACTTTTGGGATAGTACATATGCATGCTCATGTTATGATTTCTGCATGGGGTTAGTTGGACCACCTCTTGTACATGCTCACAATATGCTTCAAGTTTCAAGGGTTCACTATTCTAAGAAACAAGCCTAATGCTTTATTCTGGTTAGGTGCTAGTCAATTCTTACTGCTTATTAGGGGTGTTCACTTATTGATTTTAACCGAATTAATGGATCGAATCTAATTAGTTCAGTTAAATGATCGGCCACCAGAATTGATTCAGTCGGTTAATAGTTAATTTTTTTCAATAGTTGATTAACGGTTAAAAAAATTCGATTAATATAATTTTTAAAATATTAGTTAAATCAATAACCGAATCAACCGTATTGAATACCCCTACTACTTGTTTAATCGAAGAGTTCCATTTGGAAATTAGAATTCTTCAGTTTTGATGAGCTTGAAACCATGGTACTAAAAATTAAAACTAATTTATATTTAATATATAATATAATTCTTTTATTTAATATAATCTTTAAAAATAAAAAAAATTTAATGACCATTACGACGTAGGCACCTAAAAATGTAAGGTTAGAAATATTATGCACCTATTTTGAACGAAAAATTCTTTAGAAACCTAAACTATTTAAATTTAAATTTTTGCACTAAAACTAATTTAATTTAAATTTTATAATTATTTATTTAAAATATTTTATTTTAAAATGTAGTAATGTTAATATATTTTATTTCATTAATCATGGAATTTTATCAAAAGCTTAATATTAATACATTTTCTTTTCTTTCATTAATAATTTTCATGATAATTTTTTTTAAAATCGAATAAGAAGTTTTATATATGTCGAGGTATAGGTCAAATAAGGATACTTAATTTAGGGCAAGATCGATCAACTAGTGAAGTAAATAAAATCTATTCTCGAAAAATGTTCGTTGGACTTTATTTTTCAAGGAGGGATCTTTTCATAGTGCGTCGAAAAAGACGACCGAATGATATAATGTCTTCTACATGCATGAAGATTAAAAGATGTTGTATCGTCTGATCGTTTTTGTGAAGACGTCATGTCGTCCGATCGTTTTCTTCAATCATTATAGAAACCATCTTATTTCAAAAAATAATATGAGGAAGCCAACATGTGATAATCTTTTTTTCCAATTCATTTATTGGGCGATTTTGTCCTTAATTTAGCTATGAGTAAATATATAATATTAATTTTTTATAAATTTACTCACTGAACTTTACTTTCTCCCCTATTTCACTCCTTATATTTTTTATTTTTTTTTTCAATTTAATTACTGAACTTTGACATTGGTCCTGTCTTTGTCACTCATTCGTTAAATAATTAACAACGTTATGACATGACACATAACATCAAAACGATGTGGTTTTGAAAAAACTAAAATTCTACCGAAACATCATCGTTTTGCATCTATATAAAAACTCAAATATTCCTTCATTTTTCTTTTTCTTCTCTTCTTCTTCTTTATATTTCTTCCATTTTCTTTCAATATGCTTGAATTCTAACCACCGTTCTCGCGGTCATCCACCACACTGGTCATCGTCGGTCGTCGTTGACCGTGACCAATAAGTCCGTAAATTTTTCACCAAACTCGTTTTATCCTCTTGAATGCAAATCAAGTGTCCATCTTACCTAAAAATCCCTTAAGTTTCATGAATCTAGCGTTAAATACTTTGAGTTTTTATTCTTTGGTCTCTACCGTTTGTCGTTCTCACTTCTCTTTTATACATACATTGCGTCCTCTCTTCTTCTCTATTCTCAGCTCTGTCTTGCTTTGCTTTACTACATTTTTTATTTGCTATGAGAAACTCCAAGCTCTCGCCAATGACGGATCAAATAGCTATCTTCCCATCTACTCTATTGAAAGACGAGCTCGACATTGTGAAGATGGTGTTTACATAGGGTGCTTTCCGAATGGCAAGAAACAGTAACAATGGAGGTTTCAGTTGAAGATAGACGATGACGGTGGAAGGGTGGGATTGTAATTTGGGGTTAGGGTTTAGGAGTAAAATTTAAGATTTTTTATTTTAAATATCATATATATTATAATTAAATATTAATAAAAGTACATACAATCACTATATACTAATAAAATAAGCCGCACCATCGAGCTGTCAGTAAAAAATTAGATGAACGATAAAAAAATTTAATGCGTAAAATTCAGTGATTAAATTAAAAATATAACAAGTGAGGTAAGAAATAAAATAGAATGAAAACAGGGATTACAAATAGCGCCAACCATGTGAGAGTGATTGTAATAATTGAAGTGTAATAGCATTATTATTGCTCCGTTGGAACTTAGAGATACATAATATAATAATAACTTGGCCAAAATACGTGTATAAGATAATATTGAGAAGTAAAGTCATGAAAGCAACCCTAAATTCAGTTGTATATGCCGGTTGACTTGCTTTATGGATATCATTATTTTCTTCGCCACCTTTATAGTTTACTATGGGTACTCTAATTCATATACAGCTGGGAAATTCTGTGGATGCACTAAATTATGTTCCATTGTATTTCCCCCTCTAAACAGTGATGTTTTCAATTTCTTGTGCACTCACGTTTAGTATTCTAAACCATCTGTGACACATTCTATTCTTCTTTAAATTTTACTATATGTAATTATTTTTAAATTTACTTTCATTTAATTTTAACCATATTTTTGCTCTCCTTCCTTTTTTTTTCTTTAGAGTTTATACCGTTTTCTATATATTAGATCAATTTTTTCTTCTTGGATTTTGTTTAGTCGACAACGAACACTGGATTTGATGTTGGTTTCCGACTGTCGATTCTCTTCTCTCTTTGTTTTTTTTTTAGTTTTTTTAATAAGAATCTCCCTCTGTGAGATGTTTATCTCTGTCTTTATGTGCATTTTTTTTTGTCTTTGCGAGGCATTTTTCTTTGACTTTGTAACACGTTTTTATTTGCCTTTGTGACACGTTTTTCACTTTTTTTCGATCGTTTGACCGTTCTTTTTATTTGATTTTTTAAGGGATGGATTTGACGAAACCACGACTGATCAAGATGGTGTTTATTTGTAATCCAGTTGATCTTCCCAACTATGGACTCTCAGATTGAATTGGCTATGCGATTTTGCGTTCGTTGATAGTTTCTCACGACGGTCAACTCTAATTTGTGATTCTCAGTGATCTTTTAATAGCTTAATCCACTCTCGTGGTTCGCTTGCCGATGCAATATGATTTGCTTTTATATATTTTTGTTCGAGTCTTTTGATTGGTTTTTAACCTTTTCCATGTATGTCCTTATATGATCTAAAGTGACTATTTTTAATGTTAAAAGAAAATATCCAAATTAATGTATTTAGTTTACGATGATAGTTGTAAACTCTTATTGTAATTTTGGATATTCACTTTTTAATAATACCAACAACTTCTATTCAATATATATATAATATTAATTTAATCATATTTTATAATACTTAATATTAAATATAATTGACTCATATATATTAATTAATTATATTTTATTGTGTAATCTTCATAAATTGAATATCTATTGTCACTATTCCATTTATCGGAGTCTTCGGAGGAATTCTGTCACCGAAACCTCTAGAGGAAATAGAAGTCTCTAGAGTTTTATGTCCTTTGACTAACTACAAACTCTTGACACGATTATTGACAAACTCACATGATTTATCAGAATCAAATTTATTATCTAACAATCATATTTATTTACACAGCTAGTCTATTGATAATCAGCATAACCTTAGATATGACATTAACACCAGAGATGATTATATAAGACCTCATATATGATTAGAGAAAAGATTATTTTTCTCTCTCTGGCACTCCTTTCTCAGTTTTTTATTATTCAAATTTTTCTCAGCTCACAACTTGTTATTTCATTCATGAAATTAACGGTTATAACTCTCTCCATTGAAATTATAAAAAATAATTGTTTATTATAGTCACAACCCACTTTTTTTTAATCTAATATATATATTTATATTTGTAACTTATAACATATATTGATTAATCCACCACGAAAAATATAAAAAGTTAGAACAAGCAAAGTCGCAATTTGCAAAGTGATTGTTTGACAGAGTAGTTGGGAAGTAACATGCGGTTGAGTTGGCAAAGCATACACGCGTTACTCTTCCATATTGTTTATTCAGTTCACTGTACCTTCACGTTATCCGCCGCTT